CTTGGATGAGGGGCGAAACGTTTCTTTTTAACAAAAAAAAACGAAGTCCAGATGACATGATTCAACCTTTTTTGTTGTTATATACCTGGATGACTGAGAAAACAAACTTTGTGTTTTTGAAACCATTAGTGAAAAGGCCAGACTTCAGGGGTATCTGAGGCAGGCTTGAAACACAAGAGTCAGGGTGGCTTCTGGGTAATACCAGATGGCTAGGCCTCAGACTGACGAAGCCTCTTGGATGAGGGGCGAAACGTTTCTTTTTAACAAAAAAAACGAAGTCCAGATGACATGATTCAACCTTTTTTGTTGTTATATACCTGGATGACTGAGAAAACAAACTTTGTGATAATTTCACTGTATTTCGGTACAATGATAATAAATCTTATTCTGATTCTGAGAATTCTGATTATGATCACATTCATACACCGATGGGACACACATCAGAGGCAACGAGGGGTTCAGTGTCTTACACAGGGACACTTCAACATGTGACTGCTGGTGGAATCAAACCCCCATTTCTCCCATTGGAAGACGACAGCTCTAACCACTCAGCCACAGCTGCCCTGTATAATTCATGTTTTTTCTTGAATCTTCATCCTACATATACCCACCACCACGCCTTCCTCACCTATACTGAAGTACTCATTCTTCAGCAGAGCCGTAACCTCTGTCTCCAGAGGGATGGGGTCACACAGCAGGATATCCTTCCCCGCCACCTCACACTCGTAGCCATCATCGAAACGGAGGCGGAAGCTTCCTTCGCCGGCATCTTTCATGATGCGGCCTGAGTAGAAGTATCTGTTGGATGACCACTTGGCGACCACCCGTAGGCCAACGAAGCTGCTCCTCGCCGAGCTCCCCTCTTCCGGTGACGACCTAAGGGAGTCTGAGCGGCTGGACAGTTCGGGGTCGGTGGGGCTGACGGGGATGCGTGGGGGTGACGTTTGGGTGTAGGGCCCGTCGTCTGAGGAATGTATCTGGCTGTGAGCACCAAGTCTCGGCAGCAAGCCAACACCACCCCCCCTTTAAGAAAAAAGCAGAGTCCTGTCAAACAACAGACCTTTCACAGTCCTGCACATGCACTCCTTAAGAGTTTAGCCTCATTTCGTCTAAGCTTACCATCTGTTTAAGATTTTTACTGAAAACCTCATGATTGTTATTTAAACAACAAATGCAACTGTTTCTCAGCTGATATTTAAAGAAAATTTTTATGTCAAAGCAAGTTGACCTTACATATAAACTCCCTCCCATTCAGTAAAACAACAAAAAAAGATGATCCTTGTATTTTTCATAGTAGCAAATGTAGTTTTACTCGAATACAAGAAAAATAAAACAAACCAACTTGGGTTAATTCTAATTATCATGTGATTGCTGCTAAAAATTTCGTGTTAGAGTTCATAAATGTGAAAATCTGTCTGCTTTTTGATGAAAAGCAAGTTTTTTGATTTTGATGGACAAAAAAAAGTTTTTAAGGAAGGAATTGATTACTAGATGCAGCAGAATTAGTGAAAATAGGAAAGGTGAAGAGTTATTGATTGTTAGAGAAAGTGGCAGCATGGTGGACCCTAAGGGGGAACTCACCTGGACAAGGAGGAGCGGGATGGGGGCCGGCCCCTTCTAGCCCTTCCTCTTGGGGTCAGCGGGACGAAGGCCCAGGACCCGGAGGTGCTGCCGCCTCTGCCCATTGTGACCACTGACCCTGCCCTTTGACCCCTGTGACCCCTCTGTTGATGCCCACCTCCCCTCCTGGGACTGCAGACACACAGAGGGGACGAACGGAGTCTGTCAGGTTGTATAGACACTGATCTGAGGGGGCTTTTTTTTTACGTACGAGCGACCCCAGACTGATGCCTGACACAACATGAACCTAAAGCAGGTGAGGATCAGTGAATCACTGAGAAACCAGGTGTCAGAGGATCAGAAGGGAGAGAGCAAACTCAGCATGCAGCTAACATAAACACAACAGATCGGAGAGGCTCAGGTTCAAGTCGGGGCAGTACCTGCTAGTCTTGGTCCCTCTGCTGGGGGGCATGATGAAGACCGGCCTGGTGTGGCCGATGCTGCTGCTCGTTCCACCAGAGCTCTGTTGAAGGCTGGAGGTCCTGGACAGAGAGCTGATGTCACCCAAGTCACCTGAGGTCAGTGAGCTGTGGCCTGTGCGGCTTGGAGACACGTCACTCTCCAGGACTTGACAGTCCACTACCGGCTCTTCACGCTCCTAAAACAGGAAACAAAACAAACACATCAAACATGCGGAGGGACTTCCGGTTGGATGGGCGAAGCGATGACAGCGTAGAAAGGTTGCCCCCCACGTTTTAGTAAAGAGTGCCCACAACAACTCGAATAATTAAAAAACGTGAGCGCATTTGAATTTAAAAGATCGTGAGAATGCCTAAATATAAGCAAAAAATGTTTTGATGCAGACGGCGCTATTAGAGAGAACGTTAGCCAGGAGCCCTGGACTGCAGAGAAATGGAGGAAATGTAATCAGACCACAGCCAGGAGCAGATGGAAGAAGTACGTCTCACTCAGCCTTATCCTGAAAGAACTAAGAGTTCAGGAAGGACAACAGTCAGCAGTTGAAACAGATTTGTGAAGACAAACAACTAATATGAGAATAGAGGAGGGTGAAAAGAGGATAAAAGTGGTGGAAGAAATGGTCACTGAGATTCTGAAGCTACAGCTGGACGTGAATCTGACAGACTTAAGAGAGCCGCTCCAGAGGAGAAAACGTCAGAATACACAGACTCAAAGGTTGTTTTCACACCTGATAGTCCGGTAGACTCGGTTCGGGACCAATATTCATAACATTTTGTTTACATTTGAGCTGATGCGTTTGCATTCACACTGCACTGTGCAGTCGAGTCAACCTGTTGAACCAACCTATTCCCCCACTCGCCTGTGGGGGCGCTGCACCAAGAACTACTAAAAGAAACGACACAAAAACCTCTGAAGACACGTCGTCTTCTTCTTCTGGAAATAAAAACAAAAACGGAGTGGCATCTAGTTTTAGCAGTTTTAGGAGTTATATTTTGTCATTTTTCAAAAATGGACTCAGCATGAGCAGAAGATGAGACAGAAGACCATGGAGAATATTGTTTTTCACACAAGGCAGCTGACGGCTCCATATGAGGTAATAGAAATGTGTGTTTGTTTGCCCTGCACTGTACTCCACTTCTTGCTTGTGGAGCGGGGCCCGGTCTGATTACATTCACAATGCACTCAAACCGCGCTGGAGTTTTCTTCTACCAGACCGAGACCTAGGTTTTAGCCTGGGCCAGAGTTCGCCTTTTTGTTCCGTGACAGAGTTCGATGGCACGTTCACACCTCCACAAACGAACCGGACTTCCTAGGAAAACGAGCTAGAGCTCGATTAAAGCGGACTAAACAGGGCTGGTGTGAATGCACCCAAAGAGGGAGCCGAAGAGGGCCGAGCACCGGGCCCGGACAATAAAACCACCAACAGGAGCTCACCGAGGTCCATTGTGGTCCAACTGTCAAACTATAGGATGAAGGAGGACCTACTGAAATAGGCCTGACAAAAGAAGGGATTTTAACTCCATGGAAAAAGCATTATCTAGATCATGACTACACACCTGGTGTGCTGAAAACGGGAAAGGAAAATGATGAAGCTAAGTCAAGAGTTAAAGGCAAGACAGCAAAATACAGAAAAATTATTCAGGGAAACCTATTAAAGTTTTTCCAGAGATGTGAGACTGGTGTGGAGGTTCACCTTCCAGCAGGACAATGACCCTAAACACGCCCCTGAAGCATCCATCCTCCGGTTTAAAGAGAACCAGTTAAAGGTACTATAATGGTCCAGTCAAAGCCCAAAATGTCCAAAGGGTAGATGATTAAACTCATGGAGACGGATCTGAAGAAATCCCAGGAATCAATACACGCATGCACCATTTCTCAGTTTATATGTTTTATTTAGAAGTTTTTCCCCAATTAAAATATCGCTAATAGACAAATTAGAATTTCAATTAATTTAACACTATAAAAATAGAAAGATTGCCTAGATGGATGTATACTTTTGCAGCTTCCTGTATGTGTCATCAGAGTTCAAACAACTACAAGGAATACTTTAAATACTTCCAGATTTAGCAGCACTCTTAAGGTTTGAAAAATATTTGACGGTTTCATGAAGAAAACTTTACTAAAGTGTATTTCTTTTAATAGTTAACCACTGCCCAATTAATTTAAATTTGAAAGAGGAATAAAAATTCTGATGGTTTAGCCTTGACTGAATCAGGCTCAGAAAGCTTCACCGCTCCTCTGGATCTCTTAGAAGGCTGATTTTTTTTAAAAATCAAAGTCATTTTTTACACACAAACAAAAAAAAGAGAATACACAGAACAGAAAACTCATCCCACCCATCCCCTCACAGCGGATCAGTCACGAACACACAAATAAACTAAACAGGCATTGACAAGTTTTCCACATGCAACATAAAAGGATGCCAAGTGTCCCAAAATCTTTGAACAGAAACATTCAGGGTATAACTAATTATTCTAGATTAATTTTATACATCACTTCTCTTATCCATTGAACATTTGTTGGGGAGTGTGGGTTCTCCCAATTTCACAAGACGAGTCTTCTGGCTAGAAGAGAGCCAAAAGCAATCACATTCTTCTCGTACTTGCTTAAGGACGTATCCACAGGGACCATCTCCAACACTGAGATGAGTGGTGAGGGGTGTATAGTTTTGCCACATATAAATAAATAAAATAAAGTGCTGTGTGTTGTCATCATCATATGGGAACATACAATGGCGAAATTGGTTCTCTGCATTTAATCCATAGGACCTGGGATACACTCGGGTGGAGCAGTGGGCAGCTATGTAAGCACACGGGGAGCAATTAGGGATTAGGTGTCTTGCTCAGACACCATGACATGTGGGAATGGCTGGGGATCGAACCTGGGACTTTTGGGTCCCGAGTTGGTTGCGCTACCTCTACCCCATGAGAGGTGTCAAAAATAGATTGCCAAAAGTCTGCAGTTTGGGACAGGTCCAGAATGTATGTAAGAATGTAGCTGAAGTTTGTTTACAACAAAATGCGAGGTCCAGGTGGGCTTTGATCTTGGACAACTTGTCTTTGGACCAGTACAGTCTGTGCACTACCTTGATTTGGATTACAGCATGTCTCAGACAGACTGAAGATGAGTAAATGTCGCCCAGGACATCCTTGTAAAAGAGATTAATAAGCTCAATAGATTTCTTCCTGGTAAAATAAAGGTTTAAAAAAATGTTCTTAATGATCTGTCATCAACTTGAGTCTGATATGGATTCCTCCAAGTCCATTTCCCATTTCAGTTTAAGGCAGTCCAAACTGGTCTCATGGTATGAAATGAGCAGTGTATAAATTTTGCTGAGGACCCCCTTAGGATCAGACCTGTACTCCAAAATCTTAACCACAATATGTTTAGAGGGGTACAAAGGAAAACAATCAGAGTTAAGACTTCACAAAATGTCTCTGCTGCAAATCTCTGAAAAACTGTGACTTGTGGATATTAAACTTCTGTATCAGCTGTTCAAAAGAAGCAAACTTATCATCAACATAGAGATCATATAGTGAACGTACTCCCCTCAAGACCCAGGTGTCAAAAGCTGTATCATCTAGTGAGGGAGTAAACATATGATTATTTGACACAGGTGCCAGAAACAGTTACTCTGTAGAGTTAAATGTCCTCCTGAACTGATTCCAAATCTTAATTCACAATTGGGAATGGAAGAATTGAAATTGGGAACAGACAAATTGAACGAACGATCACAATTGTGTTTTAAGTGTAGGTTGATATTGATTGTTTAAAGGGCAGCTGAGAGCAGAGTAATGCAGAGGGGGAGCTGGATCTAAGTGAGGCCCTCTCCAAAGCCACCCAACTGGGAGGAGTATCCTTACCCAACCAGAATAGTAGAGCTCTGATATAAACCGCCCAGTAATAGTGAAAGAATGCTGAATTTAACAGCAAGAGTCCATCTTTACAAAAATGTTTGAGAAGTTCTTGGAGATGTCTCATATCCTCCTACGTAAGCCAAATGAATTACCATAATTCAGTCGGTGGGTAAGAGTTGCCTATTGGTACCCTAACATCCCGTTACATTTTTATTACATGTACAAGGAGTTCCCGTTTTTCAGACTACGATGTCAGGTTTTCAATCGGAGCGTGACACTTTGTTTTCACCAACATTCATGGATTCATTCAAGGATTTTTATTGTCATATCAGCTCACATTTGCATGTTAATGGTACGAAATATGGACTCAGGTCCCAGATCAAGAAACCTAACAGTTAACAAATAAATAAATACAAAAGAGTATAAATACACACACACACACACGTGTGTGAATGCATGCGCGCACATTAATAAATAAAGTTAAAAATAAAAAAAGTAAGCTGAGGCTGAATTAGGTGCAGCTCGAGCTCAGCACTGACAGCTGCTCTGAATGCCCTCAGCTGCCTGCTTGAGGGAAGAGGGGGGCTGCTTCCCAGTCACAGCCTTCCTCTGCCGTGCCACAAGGTGACGCAGGTGCAGAGAACGCTCCCCACCACACAGCAATAGCTATTAGGTAATGTTCAATGGTTTTAGAAAAAAATTCCTTCATCACATCAAACATGGCAACAGCTGTGGCCAGCCGGCAGCCATTTCTCCCAGAAGGGTTAGTTTAGTTCACAGGGACAAAGATACCTACCTCCGTCACTCTGCGGTCCACCTCTTTGCCGTCTTCATAGTACACATCTGTGATGATCCGTGTGATGGTGGTCCGCACCTCCTGGATGGTGCGCACATGTCTATGGTGGGTCGAAGTTGAAGTTTTTTTAAACAATGGAGAATCTGCTTCTCCCTTTAGGGCAGAATCACAGTGTGAGCAACAGAGACAAACATGAGCTGGTGTTATCTAGGTCCATCTGGACCAAACTCCTCATACCTGACCAGGAGGCAAGCGCAGACCTGGTCCATCCAAGCTGGTCTGCTGGGAGATGGTCTGCTGCTGAAGCTGAGACATGCATTAAGAGAAATGTCAGGATGTGTTTCTGCTCAAGATGAAACATGCTCAAGATCTTGAGATGAAACATTACCAGCTACTGTTACTGGTGCACTGAAATATATGACAAGTTTTAACTCTTGTCCATCCAGTCCCAAATATTCCAACCATACCTCTGTGAAATATTGAATTATTATTAATATTTTCCATCTAACTTTGTCCAACAGCTGACAAATACAAAACTACAATCATCAGCCTCTTCTGTTGTTCACAGACAAATTGTTTTTATCCCTTTGCTGAACAACAAAAGACCCCTAAATTATCGGCTTAATTACAGTTAATAATTACGTTATTAATTAATAATGGACAAAATTAACTAAAACTCAACAATCAGTCATTCCTTGGAAGTTTGGTTCAATCATTAAAGAACAGAGAAACAAATGAAACCAGCCTCAACTAAAAGGATTCTACCCTGATCTAAAAAAGTTTAGTCTGGTCCTCTGGACATTCAAAAAACAAAACAAAGCAAAACAAAAAAAAAAGTAGTTTTGTCTTTCATCCGAAAGACTTCTTTTCATCCGAAAGACTTCTTTTCATCCGAAAGACTTCTTTTCATCCGAAACACTTCTTCAGTGACTGAAGAAGTGTTTCGGATGAAGAACAAAACGTTTCTACTTTTTTGTTTGTTTGTTTTGCTTTGTTTTGTTTTTTGAATGTCCAGAGGACCAGACTTAACTTTTTTAGATTTTTCTACCTGGATTATTGAGCATGCATCAGGATATTCTGCCCTTAATATTCTGTGGCACAACTTTAGAAGCAATCAGAGCAATTAAGCAATTTCTATGTCTCTGAGACTTCTGCACCTGTCCACAAGTATTCTGGTCCACTCCTCATGAACAAACTGCTCCAGCTGTCTCAGGTTTGAAGGCTCCTTCTCTAGATGTTTCAGCTCCTTCCACAGATGTTCAACAGGATTTAGATCAGGACTCAAGAGGACCACTTCAGAACAGTCCAATATTTGGTTCTAAGCCATTCCTGGGTGATTTAGCTGTGTGTTTAGAGTTGGAGGACTCTTGATTTCTTAACTTGTTGTGGAGTCTTCGGCAACTGTTTGTATCATCCACACTTCCACCTGTCCTCAGTTGTCCTCTTGTGGACATGTCCAGGGGTTTGTATCTGGTCCCGTGGACCATAAACTTCTGACTAATCTGTGCACTGTAGTCAGAGGAACATCCAGCAGCTTGGAGATGGTCTTACAGTCTATACCTTTAACTTGCTGCTTCCTGTGCTCCATGTTCAGAGTTACACACATTCATTCTAAACAGCCCTGTGACTACCTGTCATCCTTTAAACCGGCAGTATGACTGATTACAGACTGAAGACACCTGTGATGATAATTACTGGACACGTTCAAGTCCGACTCTTTCTGTGAAGGCTAACAATTAAAATCACTTTACATTTAAAACCTACATTTATTTTTTATACAACAATTTAAAGCAAAACAATTGACTTTGTTTAAACTTCAACAAGCGTTACTGGCGTTCAGTTGACGATGCCTTGTTAAAGAATGTCTCAACAATATTCTAATAAAACGAGAGAGGAATAGACAAAATCATGATGCAACACTGTTGACAAACAATGTTCTAATAAATCCTCACAGGCCTGAACAAACCTTGCTGGGGGGCATGGAAGTGGTGTGCTTGTTGGACGTCTGGGAAACTGGCCCGACCTCAGTGCTGTTCGTGGGGTTTGGGTCTGGACCTGCAGGCAGTCTTGGTCTCTCCTCTGATGGGTCAACAGGAATGAAGGGACCTTTACAGTTCTCCTGCGATGCTGACCGCTCATCCTGTTGTGAAAGCTCTGACTGGCTGTTAAGGAGGATGTTGCACTCCAGCAAAGATGCTTGGGAGCTCATCGCTGGCGAGGAAAAGAGCTTCCCCCTGACAAATGATTGAAAGATGCTGTGAGGAGTCTTTACAACGATTCACAGTTTCAACATGAAAATCCACCAAAAACTGTGATTCAAAACATACATTTTGTAACTGCTGCAAAGTTACAGTCGATGCTGAGCGCTGAGTGACCTAGCTGAAGTTTACTGAAGCAGCTGAAACTGAGCTTTAAAAGCAAACAGAAACAGAAAACTAGCTAAAAGCTAAAACTGTAGAACATTACCTAATAGCTAAAAGGAGCAAAACACTAGCAAAAACTAAATGTAAACAAAATACTAGCCAAAAGTAGGAAATAGTTGCAAAAGGCTAACCAAAATCTAAAAGTATCAGGGGATTTTTGGTCCAGGTCAAGGCTGTTTATCACTAATGTTAAATGAATGTTGAGCCGTGTGCGAGTTCATAGAGGAGCCTGCATGTGCAGCTGGATGAGGTCATCAGGGCCTGCCTCTGAGCCAAGGACTGATAAGCCTACAGTAGTCCCTCGCTACTTTACAGTTCATTTATCGCAGCCTCGCTCTATCGTGGTTTTTCAAAATAAGATTGGGCACGACACACAATTGGCTGATTGTTGGATGAGCCACATGATCAACATATAATTTTTATTAAAAATAAATTATTTTAAATTATTTAGCACCTGCTGCACCTTTGTGCAGCCCTTACTGCAGGATAAACTTCCTTCTGCAGCTGATCAGCTGTTCTCCGTGCAGAGAAGAGAAGTGGGCGTGGTCAAGAGTGCTTGCAGGTGGTTGACAGCAACGGAGGTATGGAGCTGAAATCATGACATTTTGTGCTCTTTTAGAGTTTTGGAGTTTAGACACATTGTTTAGAATATTGCAAGAGTGTGGGAAGAGTTTAAAATGCCTTAATATACATCTATATAAATAATAAAATAAACTACTCCTTACTCCTTGTACTACTATTCCTACTTCGCGTATTTTCACTTATCGCAGGGCTTCAGGGTACAGATCCCCTGCGATAAACGAGGGACTACTGTGTATAAAACAATTCTCACACACTGTCCGGTGCAGATTCTCACGACCGGGCTTCAATGAAACATCCTGGCGTGACCGTCTGTCCTTACAAGTAAAACTCGGTTAAAATCTTCTTCTGTTGTGTGGCTTCTTTTATTAATTAATATGACTAGAGGATATTTTTATCCCAAAAAATTTATCAAAAGCGAGCAAAAAGCTAAATGTAGTAAAACGATAGCTAAAAGCTAATGCAACATAATAGTAGCCAAAAGCAGGAAAAACTGTAGCTAGAATGACAACCTGAACTGCAGAGGCTGAAAGTCACAAGAGCAAACATATCTTCTGATGTTCTCACAGCAGCAGAACTTCACAGGTCTAACAGGAGTTAAATGTTCATGTTTTACATCATCGCTGGGAGCTTCAGTCATGTCACTCCACATTAACACAGTCATCAGTTTGTAAGCTGCCTCACCAAGAAGCACAGGACAACTGATTCCCTTTAACGTAAAAGAAGCATCAGAAAAACAAACGAAACTTTTACTTCGTAGTTGAAGACGTTTAGCTTCCCGTCTGGGCAGCTTTATTGATTCAAAACTGTAGAGAGGAGTTCCAAGTTTGAAGCTCCTCTCTCCACATCTGATGTTAAACTAAATCCCCAGTGGTAAATTGACTGTATTTATACAGCCGCTCCTTTCTGTCTTATCAAGATATTCAAAGCTCTTTACAATCTGTGCCCTCATTCATACAGCACTCTACTAGATATGTACAAAGAATAATCATACCATACCATACCATTTATTTATAAAGCACTTAAAACAGCGACAAGGCCAACCAAAGTGCTGTACAGACAGAACAACAGGTAACACAAAACAATATACAAAATGAGGTAAATCAGAATATAGACATAAAAACGATGCAGATAATGATGACAAACCAGTGTGGAGCATACAGGTTCAAAACACAGATCATCTGGTGTTGAAAGCTACTGAACAGTAGTGAGTTTTTAAACGGGACTTGAAAACCGAGAGGGAGGGGGCCTGTCTGACAAGCAGAGGTAACTCGTTCCAGAGTCTTGGTCCTGCTACAGAGAAGGCCCTGTCACCTCTGTGCTTAAGACGAGTTCCTGGAACTGTGAGGAACAACTGGTCCGCTGACCTCAGGGAACGTGGAGGGACATACGGTTGTAGCAGATCAGAGAGATGGGGGGGGGGGGGGGTGAAACTGTTCAGTGATTTGTAGACATACAGGAGTATTTTGAACTGGACTCGAAGGTGAACCAGTAACCAGTGCAGTGAGGCCAAAACTGGAGTAATGTGCTCTCTTTTGCCTTAATCAGAGCTTTATCACATTCAGACACTGATGGGGCACACATCGGAGGTCGGAGGATATGAGGGGTTCAGTGACTTGCCCAGGGACACTTGGGCATGTGATTGCTTTTGGAATCGAACCCTCAACTCCTGCATTGGAGGACAACTGCTCTAACCACTCAGCCACAACAATGTAGAGAAACAGGAAGTGGGCTGTGAGACGTCGTACCTGACAGGTGTAGTAGTGTTGCTTTCAGGCTGACCGTCCTCTACTGCCTCCTGCTGCCGGTGCGCCTGACGGACCCGAGTGAACACAGAGGGGCTGCTGCAACATCAAACAGCTGTTTAGACATCCTGTTTTCACCATCAGCTGCTGCAGTTTGACCACAGGAACTAGACTCAGCCCAGAGGCCAGGTCCTGATCCCTGTGGTCCTGCTTTTTAAACTGACAGGGATATTCAACTGGTGGCCCGGGGGCCAAATCAGACCCACAGGTGAGCTCAGTTAAACCATAAAACAAACTTATTAACACAGTAACTGCTGGATGTCTGGTCCCTGAGCTCTTGGCTCTCAGTAACTGTGGCCCCCTGAGCTGTTTAGTTGAACATCCCTGGACTAAACTAAGATCCAACATTTAAAAAACAGCCCTGGTGAGAAGGTCGTACCTTTGAAACTTCAAGGGTGGTTAAAGTGAAGAACATATCTGATTAGTTGTTTAATCGCAGCCTGACAATTTAAAATCTCCAGTTTAAATCATAAACACAAGGAGCAGTGGGCACTAGGAAATAATTCAATAATCTAGACCAGGGGTCTGCAACCTACAGCTCTGGAGCCACATGTGACTCTTTGGTCCCTCCACAGCGGCTCTTTCAAACTTTGACCAAAACTAACTTAAATTGAATTTTATGTTTAAAAAAATTAGTTTTAGCCGTTTTCCTGTCATTTCATTTGCATACAGTGCCTTGCAAAAGTATTCGGCCCCCTTGAACTTTTCAACCTTTTGCCACATTTCAGGCTTCAAACATAAAGATATAAAAATGTAAATTTTTTGTGAAGAGTCAACAACAACTGGGACACAATCGTGAAGTGGAATGAAATTTATTGGATGTGTCAAACTTTTTTAACAAATAAAAAACTGAAAAGTGGGGCGTGCAATATTAATCGGCCCCTTTACTTTCAGTGCAGCAAACTCACTCCAGAAGTTCAGTGAGGATCTATGAATGATCCAATGTTGTCTCAAATGACTGATGATGATAAATAGAATCCACCTGTGTGTAATCAAGTCTCCATATAAATGCACCTGCTCTGTGATAGTCTCAGGGTGCTGTTCAAAGCGCAGAGAGCATCATGAAGACCAAGGAACACACCAGGCAGGTCCGAGATACTGTTGTGGAGAAGTTTAAAGCTGGATTTGGATACAAAAAGAATTCCCAAGCTTTAAACATCCCAAGGAGCATTGTGCAAGCAATCATATTGAAATGGAAGGAATATCAGACCACTGCAAATCTACCAAGACCCGGCCGTCCCTCTAAACTTTCATCTCGAACAAGGAGAAGATTGATCAGAAATGCAGCCAAGAGGCCCATGATCACTCTGGATGAACTGCAGAGATCTACAGCTGAGGTGGGAGAGTCTGTCCATAGGACAACAATCAGTCGTACACTGCACAAATCTGGCCTTTATGGAAGAGTGGCAAGAAGAAAGCCATTTCTCAAAGATATCCATAAAAAGTGTTGTTTAAAGTTTGCCACAAGCACCTGGGAGACACCAAACATGTGGAAGAAGATGCTCTGGTCAGATGAAACCAAAATCGAACTGTTTGTCCACAATGCAAAATTATATGTTTGGCATAAATGCAACACAGCTCATCACCCTGAACACACCATCCCCACTGTCAAACATGGTGGTGGCAGCATCATGGTTTGGGCCTGCTTTTCGTCAGCAGGGACAGGGAAGATGGTCAGAATTGATGGGAAGATGGATGGGGCCAAATACAGGACCATTCTGGAAGAAAACCTGTTTGAGTCTGCAAGAGACCTGAGACTGGGACGGAGATTTATCTTCCAACAAGACAATGATCCAAAACATAAAGACAAATCTTTAATGGAATGGTTCACAAATAAACATATCCAGGTGTTGGAATGGCCAAGTCAAAGTCCAGACCTGAATCCAATCGAGAATCTGTGGAAAGAGCTGAAGACTGCTGTTCACAAACGCTCTCCATCCAACCTCACTGAGCTCGAGCTGTTTTGCAAAGAATGGGCAAGAATTTCAGTGTCTCCATGAGCAAAACTGATAGAGACATACCCCAAGAGACTTGCAGATGTAACTGCAGCAAAAGGCGAAGCTACAAAGTATTAACGCAAGGGGGCCAAATAATATTGCACGCCCAACTTTTCAGTTTTTTATTTGTTAAAAAAGTTTGACACATCCAATAAATTTCATTCCACTTCACGATTGTGTCCCACTTGTTGTTGATTCTTCACAAAAAATTAAAATTTGATATCTTTATGTTTGAAGCCTGAAATGTGGCAAAAGGTTGAAAAGTTCAAGGGGGCCGAATACTTTCGCAAGCCACTGTATATGTGGATATTAGTACTAATATCCAGAGTGAATTATACTCTAACTTTATGTTTTATTTCTTCAAAGTAAGATAAGATAAGATATCCTGATGCATGCTCAATAATCCAGGTAGAAAAATCCAAGAAAGTTCAATCTGGTCCTCTGGACATTCAAAAAAACAAAAAACAAAACAAAGCAAAAAAAAATGTAGAAACGTTTCGTCTCTCATCCAAGACTGAGGAAGTCTCTTGGATGAGAGACGAAACGTTTCTACATTTTTTTTTTGCTTTGTTTTGTTTTTTTGAATGTCCAGAGGACCAGATTGAACTTTCTTGGATAAGAAAAGATAGTACTCAATACAACAATTTCCTGCGGGATCAATAAAGTTCTATCGGAACTAAATTTAAAAAATTGCATAAGCCTGCACAGTTCATTGTTTTAGTTTAAAAAAAATTGGCAAAATAATATCTATATTTTTTTCTTTACAAGAATCCAGTCTTCTGTGATTGCGACCTGGAAATGGGCACCAGTAATACAGGTTTTCTAGCTAAAAAGTTAAAAGAAGCACTCATGTTGCCTCTTCCCTCATGCTAAACGCCCCCTGCCCCCACTCAAAAACTGTTAGTACAAGCTGCGCTCAGTGTCCGTCCCCCCATCAACAAAAATCATGGATGAGATGAGCACCCCGCCATGGCAAGTTAACTAGGGGAAACACTGCACTGCAACCCATAAAGAAAGAAATGGATAAAGATGGATGGATGGATGGATGGATGGATGGAATCCAGTCTTTTCTTTTGTCTTCAAATGTAAAATCAATAAATGTTAAAAATCATTGGATGTTTTTAGTTTTATAATTTCACACCTACTGGTCAGAAAAGCCCCCTCTAACAAACTTAAAGTGGCCCATGGGCCACTAGTTGACAATGACAACTGTAGCAGGTTTTGTGGCTCTGGACACGTTGAATTTAGTGAATGAAAGAGCAGAAATGGCTCTTTTGATCGTAAAGGTTACAGATTCCTGATCTAGACCAATAAAACCATCTGCACACAAGTTATGACTGAAGACACAAATAATGAAACCCCAACAGTAGAACTTACAGAAAGAAAACTACAGAAACTATGCATTCATTTATAAACCTGGAGATGGATGTCCACAACATAGACCTTCAGCCCGAGTGGAAACCAACAAAGCAACACCTTTAAAGATTATTTAAAGTGGGCTTCTGTGGAAAGATTACAACAGGTCATATCTGGTTATAAACACTTAATATTGTTATAAACAGTTATTATCTGGTCTTTGGACAACCTCAGGAACCTCAGAAACAGACTACGACTGACAGGATTGATGAGTAAATGGCTAGTCTGAGCAGGAATAAAGATTACAACAACTCATTCATTCACCACTTGCTCAAGCCGAGATCGGATGCTTCCCTCCCTCCCTCCCTCCCTCTTTGCTTTGCTGCTCTGTCTGTCTGTGAAACTGCTGTGAGACTATCTTGCATTTCTACCGAACCGTAATTATGGACTGTTGTGATCAGCTGGTCCCTCAACTCAATTTACAACATTTCTTCGAAGAGAAGACAGGCTTTAGGCGAGCCGATTTATCCTGTTGGCACGTATGCAGCTGGATATCTCATCGACTGGAAAACTTGATGTGTCTTTCTCTGCTGCCATCTGTGGATTTTAAGGACGCATATTTAATTGGATTTTTGATAACTGGTTCCTGCTTTTTGGATTTGGCTGGTTGCTGGTTTTATCTACAATCAAGGAAGTCGTTGGCAGCAAATTTGGACCCGATCATGCTGCTTGCCTTTTTGATGGCTTGGTTCGTGTCTCGTGTACCCGGACTCAAATGCTTTGGGCTGAATGGATCAGATCTTGGGGAATTTATTCAGTCACGTTCTATCAGTGTGGCCATGTATTTTGGACATTTCGGAAACGAGTGGACCAACACAGACTCAAGGTAGATGTCATTAAGTTCTGCCTGTCCCCAAAATAACTGTGTGTTTATCCAAGTTGGCTCCACTTGGCTGGCCTTGAAGGCCACCTTATCTGAATTCGCCTGAGAACATGTGATCTGACGCTCACCACCCCCTCCCTGAGGAATTTCCAACTGATAACCAGATGAAACCAGCTGAATAAACTTTGTGTCATCATTTCAGGACTCTTGGATTCTCAGAGGTTATTCTTGGCCATTTCTCGACATACCTCGAGAATGTTTATGGATCTCACCGGAGGACATTGACTGATTACAGTGACCTGGAGAGAATCTATAAGCGTTGTTGACCACTCTCGTCTCCTATTGCAGAATGTCTACAAAAATATGTGCTTGTTTGTGCGAGGTGTTTTTTAATATTAGAGGTTTATGGTTTTTTTTCTCAGGCAAGAAAAAAAAGTCTGATAGGAATTTTTTTTCGCCTCCAACACCTACATGTGTCCAGTTAACCACTGTTTTTGTCTGTCCAAACAGGTCTCACTTGTAAATGAGTCTTCGAGGCTCAATGTGATTTTTCCATTCATTCATTCATTCAACCTTTATTTAGACAGGTAAATCCCATTGAGCCTCGAGGACTCATTTACAAGAGAGACCTGATTTCAACAAAGAATGATGACAACAATTTATCTAAAGGTTGAATGAATGAACTCTAATCTCAATTAAAGGCCAGAACTCTACACGCCTCCAGCTTTTTGAGCTGTTTTAAGAAATATCCTCTTATTGATGGAGTTTTAATCGTTTAGGTAAAACTTCTGACGAAGCAAGATCTCGATCAGATGTGTGTAGGGAAGACTCTCAGCAACTACCACCCCATGAGCTCAATGTCTGTGACGCCGACAACACTAACCGTCTCTGTGTTTGATAAGGCTGATTTACAGTGACGGCCATTTTGGACTGGACCGACTCCAATAGTTAATCAGCTGCAGCCGTACGTTTGATTACATTCAGAAATGTTCAATGAAACCTGTCCAGTGGGGTTCAGGAAATGTTTTACTAACAGACAAAAACATGGATCACCTTCCCTTTTCAGCAGCGGACGATATTAATCTACAGCCTTTCTTTTGATGCTTTTTTCCAAATCTTACACCATTGCCAATTTTGCATTACATTGTTACTCTGGCAGAAATATTTTGTTCCTACTTTAAACATGCTGCTGTCCAGCCTCTCCTGAAAAAACCAAACCACGACCCCTCAGTCGTTTCCAACTTCCGGCCTGTCTCCAAACTCCCATTTGTTTCTAAAGTACTGGAGAAAATAGTCAAGTCTCAGTTGAAGTGCTTCCTGGAGGATCATGCCATCTTAGAGCTTTTCCAATCTGGCTTTAATCCTCTCCACAGCACTGAAACTGCCCTGCTGAAGGTTTTTAATGACATCTTCAGATTCACAGATACCGGTGATTCTGTGCTGCTTGTCCTGTTGGACCTCACAGCTGCCTTTGACACCATCGACCATGAGATCCTCATTGCTAGGTTGGAGCAGTGGGTGGGCGTCACAGGATCAGCCCTCAATTGGTTCAGATCTTACCTCACTGACAGATCCTTTTGTGTCTCCATCAAGGATTTTAGTTCCGTAGAGGCAGAGCTTAAATGGGGGGTTCCGCAGGGGGCCATACTGGGTCCCCTCCTATTCTCTTTATACCTGCTGCCGCTTGGTGCTATTTTCCGGAAACACAACATGCCCTTCCACTTCTATGCCAATGACTGTCAAATTTACTTCCCCCTAAGACACAATGGTACATGCTCTATTCAACCGCTGCTCAACTGCCTGGCTGACATCAAGGACTGGATGGCTTTAAATTTCTTAAGTTTCAATGAAAAGAAGTCTGAAGTCATGTTGTTCCCTCCCAACGACACGATCACAAACCACTGCATCGACCTTTCCGCTCTAACCCTGTCAGAAAAACAAAGAGTCACTAATCTGGGAGTGATAATGGACCCTTCCCTGAAGCTTAACAATCATGTAAACATGATTGTTAAATCATGCTTCTTCCAACTGAGGCGGCTGTCTAAATTGAAGCCCATATTGTCCAAAAATAACCTGGAGACAGTAATACATGCATTCATTACATCTAGGCTTGATTACTGCAATTCACTCCTGTTTGGTATCAGTCAGACCTCCATTGCACGACTACAACTGGTCCAGAATGCAGCAGCCCGATTTTTAACCAGTACAGGCAAAAGAGAGCACATTACACCAGTTTTGGCCTCACTGCACTGGTTACCGGTTCACTTTCGAATCCAGTTCAAAATA